GTGAACTTCTTGAGCTTGACATTTATCTCCTTGGTGCATAATTTTCTAGGTAAGTAACCGTGTGATATAATGCAAGGATGCTAAACTACATAAACTCTCATGCACACAAGATACCAACTAAGAGTCTAAATCAATTATAAAGTACCAAAAGAGTTTTGCCATAGAGAAAACCTGTCATCTGCACAGTACATATGCAAAAAATGCAATACACTCATTGAAAGAGAATGGAATAAAAACTCCAAGATCAAATGTCAGTCACAAAAGGTCATGCATTTCTATATCCTTATCCAACTGCCTTAATTTCATTATCAAATGTAATAATACTATTTATTTTATAGCAGTTAGTCACCATGTCATAGAAATGGGAAACAAGAGTTAGGTCACCTACATGACGTTGGCTGTTTCTACCCGCCACTCTTTCTAATTGCACATTTTCTCAGAAATGAATTTTAAAATACAAAATATCCCTGATAAAAATAAGAAGAGGGCTCTATGGTAAATATTTTAAGTAAGGAAATGTAAGATTTACAAAACAAAAATTACGTTATTGCCTTAACCGTATGTATCCATGATTACTAGCCAAAAAATGATTTTTACTATAAAATAGCTAAAAACTGAATAGTATACTTTCCTTGTTAACTCAAAATCACATATACTTATATATTTTTTCTTCTTTTGCAACTTAGGTTTCCTTGAAATTTGTCCTTCTTATATTATTCTCTGTATAAAAACTTTAAATAACCCCTGGCTGGAGTGGCTCAATGGATTGTCAACATTGTCAAAAACTGTCCTTACAAATTAAATGTATAATTTTAAAGCCAAAAGAAAATTCAAATGACAGTCTTCAGTGAATACCAGAAGAGGTTTTTTTTTTTTTGTATTTTTCTTTAACATGTGACATTATTTTAAATACATTTCTGAAATCATTTCAGAAGTTTTCACAGGGAGCATTTGTAGTGACTATATTTGTTTTATTTCTTTAAGAATCCAAACACTAGAAACAAGAAAAGAACAGATCTCTTTTTGACTTCTTACTGGTATATTTTTCCATAAATCTTGATAAAAAGAAACAGCCATAGGGGAAAAATAATAAGATACAATTTGGATATTGGAGAAGAGAAATGGAAAATAAGATACGCTCTTTTTAAACTAGAGTAGAGTGTTATTTAAGGAAGAGAGCTATAGATCTTAGACAATTTTGATTAAAAAAATCTATTTCAATTTTTTTGGAATGATATATACATGCAAAAGTATTAATGAAAGTATTATTAAAAGTATTTTAATAAAACCTCCATTTTGATTAACTCAATTAATTATGAACTTAATTGCATCTGCAAAATCACATTTACTCTACAGTGTTTGATATCACATGATATTAACAGATCTTCCTCCTACTGTAGGGGAAGATATTATACAAAGTATCTACACCAAAGTGTAAAAATCTCTGAGCCATCTAAAAAACATACTTGCCAGAATTTGAGTAACAAAAATTAATGTTTATAATGGATTGGCATACTTCAAATATGCATATAAGAATATCAAAAAAGCATAATTATACTTTAAAAAACTACTTTTTTAATCTTTGAAGATGCCTAGAGATTCAGTAAGTCTTTTGGCATCTTGATTTAAAATATCAAGCACTTTAAGCGAAATAAGCCAGGAGGCGAAAGACAAATACCGTATGATCTCACCTATAAGTGGAACCTAACCAACAATACAAAGATGCAAGGAAAATAAGACCAGCAACACTGAAAGGAAAAGAAACCAACAGAGACAAGAAGGAAGGCGGGAGGAGGGGCAGGGGAAAAGGAAAAGAAGGGGAAAGTCAAGGAACATATAGCAAGGACTCATGGACAAAACCAAAGGGGAAGAGTTGAGGGAGGGAGCAAGGGAAAGTGGTGGGGGGTAGGCAGAGACAAATGTATTTGAAAAAATTAATTAATTAATTAAAAATATATCAAGCATTTATTTTCCCTTCTATATACAGTGTGATTTTAAGGTAACTCAAGGTTCTGATGGTGGAATTTTCTTTATTAAAGAATTCCAAGTAATAATTTCAGAAAGAATGCCATGATTAGAGAGCTACATTTTTGCAAATACTAATGAAAATGGATAAAGGAAGCTATCATCAATGACTGTTAAAATGGTTAGAGAAAGAGTCAATGGAAAGTGGACAACACCTAAATTCACTGACCTACATTAACATAATTAAAATCAAGATGACCAGGCAGTATATACTTCCTGAATAATGAAATATAAAGTTAATGAGGAGATCTACATACTTATTTTTCCCAATGAATTAAACCTGACTACAACCTAGCCTCTAAGTATAAATACCATTTTATGCAATTAATTATAAGGATAAAAATATAAGGAGCTCTATGATCATGCAAATTGCCAAATAAGAAATGTGAGATGGCCAACAGGACAAATGTGTAGTTATTTCCCACAAAATGCATAATATAAACAAAGAAATTAGAATGCCTATGAATTAAATGAGAATTATAAACACATAGCACCAAATGCCATGCATGGGTCAGTCAGGATTCTGATTAAAAAATAAACATAAAAATATATTTATATGAATTAGAATATTTATAATAAATATATTTATAAGAATAAATTATAAGAATTTATAAGAATTAGGAAAAGTGAACATTGACAAGAATTAAACATTAAGGAATTATTTTTTAATTTTGTTACATGTTTTGTATTGATAATAATCTTATCTTTTAGAGTTACACATTAAGGAATTTACAGGTGAAACAATAACATAAAATTTCCTTTGAAATGGGGATACATAGAGAATACCAGATTAGAAATGTTGACAATTTCTGAAGCCAGATAATGGCTACCCGGAACAAGTATTTAATCCCTCTGGTCTTGTGTAAGTCAGAAAAATAAATCCATAGCCTGTGATTTGTTGGCCTTGCTCCAACTGGCTATAGTTTGTTGAGCTCTGAATTGGACAAATATTAACTCATTGGTAAGGATTTATTAAACCCCGTGCTGGTAGCAATTCAATTTTTAAGGCTTTATTTTTATTACCCTTATGACAAGCCCTCTTGGTGTTTGCAATTATAAAATTGATATCATGGCTGCCTTGAAGAATCTTGCAGACAAGAAGTGACATACAAGATGGGGCAAAAGTAGGCTAACAGTTGCGAGTACACAGAAAACAGAGTTATTCTTGTATTATTATTTATTAATTATTATATCATTTTCTGTATGCGTAGCTGCAAATTTACCTTTGTCCCACCCTGTAAAATGCACACACACACTTTCTTACACACAAGTGAACAGTTCATTTAGTTTTTTTGTATATAAACTTCCTTAAAATATGCATACCAATGTATGCTGTAATGCCATCTTATTTTTTATAGATTTGAATCACAACAAGCAAAAATTTGATATTTTCTCCCTAGCTCTATGTGGTCATTAAATCAAGCTGAATCATACTGCCTATTAATTGTCATTCAGGGATTATAATGACTTTTTCAAATGTGGTGACCAAAAAGAAAGAGATTTATCTTATTTGGCTTGGGTTTTAAAAACAAATAGCTAATAGGACAATTAACCTAATGCAATGAAAGGTGAAAACTAACCACTAGTCTTTGCCAGTAAGTTTATTACTCGACAGAGGGGTAGATGAATACATGGGACACAAAAAGGATTTCCTTAGCAGGAAGGGGCCCAATCACCTGCCAAAATATCAACACACACGAGAGAAAAATTGTGTCCACAACAGAGTTTGAGAAATTGATCCACTAACCATTCAACACATGAGTTCCTGTCTAAATTTTAGGTCATAACAGCTTAGAAATAGAAATCGAAAAAGTGGTCACTCAGAGGTATTTAAAATTCTGGCCACTGTTTCTTTTATTTAACTAGATAAATTGATACAAAACACAAATTTGAACTTTGAATGAGCATAGGATACAGGAAAAAGATTCTCTAGGTTTAGCAGTATGGCTTTAGTATAAAGTATCATTGGCAAATTTTATCTGAGAAGGTGTTGGTATGAGACAAGAAGCTACACTCTCAGAAGGGCAGTCGATCTGTCGATTCTGGCTATATCAACATAGGTATCTGGAAAGAAATGAATAAAAACTGTTACAGTATATATTTCAGGAGATTACATTTCAGCAATTTAGAACTAAGTAGAGGAAGCAAAGTTGAATTTTGGAGGGAGAGCAGGGAAATGGGCTATATTATAGTTAAATTCAACCTTAGTATGCAAAAAAGCATTAAAGTTTCTAAGTACCAGTTGTAGTTTGAATTGTATCAATGTTGTCTGTTGAACCCATTCATGGGTTCTCTCAGATTGTTCAATATCCATTTTTAATCAAATTTTACCTGCATATAATTAATGTTAGTTGTCATTGCTTTCTTTTTCTCGTAGGGCACATAGTTGTACCTATGCGATTTATCTTTTTTCTCTGACTATGTCATGGTATTTTTCCCTCTGCCTGTCTTCAAAAATGGATAAAAATAATGACTATACAGCTTAAAATTTTTATTAATGAAAAATGCACATTAACAGATGCTTTTCAAATATTAGTTCAATCTCTAATAGCACTCCAAAATTTTAATTCTCCAACAAAATTGAAAATCCTATCTTCTACTATGATTAGAAGTATATATTATAGTTGATGTATTTTGCAGTGTTAATATACCTGGACAATAAATAGTGTTTATATAATCCATAAAATAAAATAAACTTTTAAAAGTCATAATCCTATTAAAATGAAAGCAGCAAGTCTCTAGAAATTTTACCAAAATTAATCATATTTTGATTTTTGTTTGTTTTGCTGTATAACCCAATCTCCTTTGTTTGTGAAATTTCTGAGGTCCCTGTCCCTGAACCCTAGATTGATGATACCCAAACACATTAAAACACTTTTATGTACTAGAACTGAACTGCACATAAACCTCACATTTTAGTTCTGTTTTATTTAAAAAGACAAATAAATCTTGCAACAACTGTCAACCCCTACTAGGATTCTATTTTCAGAAAAGTCTCATCATACTGTTCAAGAAGAGGCAAGGTTGCTTTACCTAACGGGAGCGCGCCTAAGTGACCAGACCTTAGTCCGGGGACGCACCGTCTCCGTCTTCCTGGGTACCGGCGGGGACAGGACTGGGTACACGCCAGACGAGAAACTGCGGCGGCAGCAGCTGCGAGAACTGAGAAGGCGATGGCTGAAGGGCCAGGAGCTGAGCCCCGGGGAGCCGGTGCTGCCCCCTCAGAGGGTGTGGCCTATGGAGAGATTCTGGAATAAGGTTCTGCAGGACCAGGCCCCGTGGAAGAACCTGATCTATAAGACATATCGACACAGTTTCCTTGTTTTTACTCATATACTTACACCTGCTTGGATTGTTCATTATTATCTCAAATATCATGTGAATAAAAAACCGTATGCCATTGTTGAAAGGAAGCCCAGAATATTCCTGGGTGATACAATCCTGGAGACTGGAGAAGTAATTCCACCAATAAAAGAATTTCCTGATCAACATCATTGAAGATTAAGTTAAAATTTCAGAGGCATATGAGCCCAAGTTTTGTTGCTATATTACCATATTTACTTAATATATTTTCTGGGAAAGTAACTTGAATAAAGTGTACCCTTGGGTAAATAAAAAAAAAAAAAAAAGAAGAAGAAGAAGAAGAAAAAACTCTTTTAAATGTTCTGTCACATAAAAGTTTTCAAAGAACTTTTAATATTTTACCAACATGCTCGCTCAGTTCCTTATTATTTTTGGATCCTGCTGAGTAATTTTCTCAGCTGCTTAGTATGGTGATTTACATTCCTCTTCATATCTAGGTTCTTTTTTTCCTTTCAGTTTATATTGTTTGGATTGATATAGGAGCTTCAATTTTCTCAAGACAACAAGATAAGACTTTTCTTAAAAATAGACGTTTCCTGCACACTTGTAAGCTGTCTTTAGATGTCTATGTTTGTAACTAAAAAAAATGCAGTAGTAAGTATTGCCTTGTATTTTTTTTATGAAAAAAAGCTAGCTCTTGGATTTAAAAAGATATATATATATATTCTTAGTTTTTAAAAAGAGGAAATGCATGTAATTTATTTTAGATTAGATAGATGGCTTCCATAGAGTATCTAAAGAAACTTCATGGAATCTATTTACTTTTCTGAAAACATTTTCAGTGAGATATAAGGCTATCTTTCCCAATATTAAGTTAGACATCTTAATCACTTAACACTGAATGGCAGTGCACTTTAGTACAAGGGATTTCAAACAAACCAAGATGACAGTTATGATGGTGATGGCAATAATGATGATGACATCCACCTGCAATAGGTTGCTAGGTTTCTTTTTCGTTATAGGTGATATGTAAAATTTCAATATTAAACAAGGTCATTATGCTTCAATGATTCAATTAATAGAATAGTGTATTGTACTAGGAGTTAGGAATTCTGACCTTACCTCAAGCTAAGTTTAGGAAATACCACCTAAAGTCAATCCCTATTATTTACAAGCTGATAATTATTTGTATATTTTCCTGTGTATTACATATTTGTTCTTACTGGGAGCTATATACAGCCAGGAGACACATCTTTTTCTTTTCTTTTTTAAATATTTAGTTCCTAGCATAGAGAGAAGTTTCATTAAATGATTGCCAAATAAATTAACAAATCTCCAACACTGGAACACATCTGATACTTGTGATGATTAAATGTTAATACTAGAATAAATTTATTTAGAATTTTGAATATAAAACAAAGTCCTATTTTTACAAGGATGTAGATGCTAAGGCTTTGTGTCCCATCTTGGGAAACAAACTTATTTATTTCTTAAGTCTTCATCTACACGAAATATTCAAAAATAGAACTGAATATAACTAGTCATCACTTAAAATGTTTCAAATTTATTTGTAAATATCAGCATAATAAATCACTTGAGAATAATTAAAAAACTTATCAGTACTTAAATAGTCTGGTATTGAGTTGACTAAAGGATTGCAATTCATGCAACTGTTAGGGTTGAATTATAAATATCACAGAATAAACTTAAAGCCATAAAAATATAAAGTTATGAGTAGATTTAAGTATCTACAAAAAGACCTCAGGCTTTCTTTTTTTTAAATCTGAAATTATAATAAAACATACTGTGCTGAGTTTTAAAGACAAACTGTGTTTAATTTGTAAAGGAAGACTCTCTATATTAATTATAGATATATACATTGGCCATTGAACACAAGGGAGAGGGAGATAAATCTATTGATCAGGTCATCATCTCGAACTAGAAATCTATCCTTTTTATTTTAAAACTAATATTTTTCAAAAAGTCAACAGTGTCCTTTGTCAGTTCAGTCAATATATAAAAACACTCCCAGCTTCTAAATATGTGGCCAACTTTTACCACTATTCTCTTCTATTTCATAACATAATGATACAGACTCTTCCATATCGTGTTGTTTGAAGTGGTAAGTTAGAAAATACAATTCACTCCTGATATACTGGTTTTCCATGAGCACTTCACCGAATCATACATCATTTGCCAATAAACATTTTGCATAACATACATTTTAAAGATAAGATGGTAAATGACATTTTTCACTCACCTTATTTCTATATTAAAGGGCAATATTTAGTTGGAGTAGTTAAATATTTTGCATGACATACATTTTAAAGATGATAAATGTTATTTTTCTATCACCTTATTTCTATACTAAAGGAAAATATTAAAGTTAAGATATATCTATATAAACTGGATTTTTACTCACACTCCATCTTTTTTCCAGTAATCAATTTAACACTGTCAGATTTTTGCCTCATTCAATAAGATACACAGGAATAGACTCAGCAAAGGAAACATCTATTTGCAAGGAAGAATTGCTGTTACCATACCAAAAAAAAAAAAAAAAGATTTAATCACTTAGATGTTTTAATTTTAAAACATCTCTCTTCTCTACTAAAGTTAATAATGTCTCAGTGATATGTTTCGAAACAACTCTAATAACAATATCCTTTCTTTTGGCTGTCGTCCAATTCTACACATCTCTCTAAGCAATTACTGATATCACATCTGACTTATAAAAGCATTCCATAAAGGTAGATCTTGGTCAATTGAAAGAAGTATTCTGACCTCCGTGCCATCTCCTCTAAGAGGCTAATGGGACCGAATATATCATGACTTTGATCCCTTCAGTTTCTACCATGAATAATGTCACCCATTTTTTTAATATATAATCTTTATTATATTTTTCCATTACCATTTAGTCTCCTTATACCTGCTTCCTCCCAGCAGTCACCACCCTGTTGTCCATGTCCATGAGCCCTTTTCCTTTTTCTCAATCCCCCCACCACTAACTTCCTCCCCCAGTAGCTGTCATCTGTTCTCCATCTAGGAGTATGTGTCTGTTTTGCTTGTTTGTTCAGTTTGTTAGATTCCACACATGAGTGAAATCATATGGTATTTGTCTTTCTCTGATTAACTTATTCCTCTTAGCATAATGTTTTCCAGGTCCATCCATACTGTTGCAAAGGGTAAAATTTTCTTCTTTTCTATGGCCGATTCTTAATGAGAGTCACCCATTCTTAATAAAAGTAACAAGTATGGACAGAATTCACAGCTGTAGTCTGCCATGGCCAGAACAATCTCAATGTAACACACGCGTACCATTCAATAGAACCTCATACTCTCCCAGTCAGTGAAAACCATGTGAATCAGTCAATGCTGAATTATATGCATAGATCTGCAATCATGTCATTGGAAGACAAGGGAGAGTGACATAAATAGTTAGGTGCCTGAACATTTGAATTTGAGCTCAACCAATGGAAGCAATGAGAGGCCGAGTCTCTGCCTAATGCATTGCACAACTTCTTACATGGAACGGTATCACCTCGTAGAATAAGGTCAAAAGAAGAATTTGTGCCATTATATGGTTTATTAAGTTCATGAACATAACCAGAAGACTCAGAATAATCAACTCTGCATGCCTTAAGATAGTCTCGCTGTGAGCAGTTTCATGAACTCAATCAGATAATAATAATGATAATAATAATTACTGTCTATTTTCACTGTAGATTCAACTAAATTCCTCCTAGTACTCACCTCAGGGAAACTTTTCAACACCATCACTCGTCTAGTTGTTATCACTTCATTTTAATGGGAGAAACTTGTTATCTTAGATAACCTTGTTTATTATCTACTCAGGCCTTTCTTGGCCTTATTTCTAATTGGTTTTCTCTTATATGTGTGCATATCATAATAGTGATCAAAACTACATTAACAAGCATAAATTTCATCCCTATGAACTCTTATATATCTAATTATAAATCTAGTACTGTTTTTAATATCAAGAGTGTTTTTGCTAAAATGATTACATCTTACCATATAAATACTATTTTAACTTATTAGATGTAATACAAATAATCACATATAGATACATATCTATTCTCTATTGTATTAGCGTTATCAAAATACTGTATAATGTTATCATCTTGGCCCACTTCTAGTTGCTCCCTAATTTCCTATCCACATCCAAATTCTTTCACAGCAACACTATGTCATTAGTTTATAAACTACTAGATAAAATAATGCTTTACTATTTCACCTTAACTGACACTTAGCTCTTTTCAAGGAAACCCTTTTCCATGAAACTCCCCCAAGTGGTATTCTCTTACGCCTTCTCTCATTCACCTCAGGATTGCAATATGCGTTTGGTGTCCTGCTTGCTCACTATTGCCATGTCATGACTATCATTCCTCAATGGATGCCCAATCTAACAGTGGGGAAAAAAAAGTCCTCGAGTTCTGGTCAACGCCAACTTATTCACCTACCCCCCCATTTTACACTTTGGAAAATTGTATCACATAAATAAGGATAACTCATGCAATATATTATTTTAACTGGAATGCTTGGAGAGTTAAAATTGGCAATAACATTAGGCCAAGAAAACAGGCATAAAGGACTATTTTCCTGGACATCTGTGATATATGGCCACTCTCTCATTATCTGATCCTTCCCCAGATATGACTGATGCAGCATCCCCTCTATTGTAACCTCACTAACCACATAGTATCCAAGTAATATCGCAAATAATTGTCCCTTGAATTATAAAAGAAAAAAACATTTTAATAGGTATGCCAAAGATGATTTGTATTATGTAGAAATTTTTAATTTTTAAATATATATGTAAGTTTTAATATAACATATATGTATATGTTACATATATATAATTGAGCATTGCCAGCATAGATGCCACTGTGTGAACTCAGCCTCCTACTATCAAGTAATTGCCTGGTTGTGACTTTCTAAAAAGTTTAAAGTGGATATTAGTTCATTGTAAAATCTTACTTCAAATATCCTATGATGAACTATGATGACCCACAATTCAGGAATAAAGGCTTTTTTCCAAGTATACTTGGTCAATAAACCAAATTAGTTGTTCTTATTAACCTGCTGTGTCTGGCTGTTAATGTCTAAATGGTAATCCCTCGATGCAGTTGCTATAGTTCTAAACACTCTGTTAAGTAAGCATGTTCTGTTCCTGAAAGATTAATTGGGCCCCAAAGTGGAGAAAGATTATGCTGACTTAGCTGCTTTTCTGTTATCCCCCTGGAAGACTTCTGTTGTCACATAGAAGAGTAATGGAATAGCAAAGATGCTTTCAG